TCCCCTGGTGGCGCAGCAGTTGAGTGCTGGGCTGTGAAGCTGCCCGCAGCCTCTGCAGCGACAGTTCCATCCCCAGCCACCGGCAAGGGTCCCACATGGCGCGCAGACCTCTCCTGTTGTGCCCACTGCTCCTCTCAGCAGTGTATTTCGTCAGTCTGCCTGTTCTGTTCCCCGCTCTGGCTCTGGTGAATTCTCTCACCCTCCCGCACTTCTGACTGTACCCAGTGCTTGTTTGAATAAATAAATAAATCTTTAAAAAAAAAAGTTTTCTTTTTTCTTAGAATGCTCTTTTTGGCATTCCATAAATAGAAGCTACTCCTTAGAAATGTGTAATGTGATATTTTTTAGTAGTACTATATTATTTGATATAATATCTATTAGGAAAATACATATATAGGTTCTAGAAAAGGAAGAAAGGTTTTATGCTAATTATGATATGAGCAATTGAATTCATGAGCAGCAGTGATAGTTGCCTCTTTCAGTTATTATCTTATAATGAGCAAGAAATGATACTTTATCTGCTATGTATGGTAATTATCGATGCTCCTTTCTGCTCTATAGCCATACACTTTCAGCAAGAGTAACACATGATTATACAAAAATAAATCAAAATATAGTATTGACATTCATCTATGAAAAACAAGAAAATCAGAAAATTCTAGAACGATTTAAACATTCATCTAAAATAATTTTAAGGATAAAATATTACCGCTGTGAAAATTTGTTTTGTAATGCAAATATGTTAATACATACAATTTTAAATCCAAGGGCTATATTGACTGTAGATTTTCCTAGCTTAAGGAGTTACTATAAAGTAAAACCATTTACACTAGAGAAAGTTAGGCATAGATATGGAACTTAATAAAAATTGCCAGGACAACACTTTTACAGTTAGTAATAGTTTAGGAATGGAAACAACCTCTCTTCTACTGTAGAATCATGGAGCACATTATCTAATTTATACACAGGATGTCATGTTGGTCAGCACTTAGAATAAATGAAGTAGATATACATGTATCCCTGGTAATAAATATCTAAACACAATGTTAAAAACAATTGTAGAATGCACAGTATGATACCATCTATATAAAATTTAAAACCTCAAAAATAATTCTATATTGGTATTCTAGAGATGGATACATGTGTTGTAAAAGTATAAAGCATGCATTAAATAATGTATGCCTGCAAACAATAATTTCTGCACATATTTTTTAATAAATAAGCACTATTCCACAGACATGATAAACATTTTTTATCTGGGTAGGAGTTTAGTGAATCTTTTTAAGCATTTGTCTGTTTACTGCAATTCAGACTTAAATTTAAGATATGGATATATGAGATGAGGGAACTCTACTATCCCATGATTGTGATTAGTTGGGAAAGTTTTTAAAACACATGAATATTTTCTTATAATCAGAGCCTTTGTCTAACAGTTATTTTGAAATGAAGTACTAAATATACAGTATAAAATGATCAGCTACACAAAACCAATGGTCAATGACAGCACTCTATACATTAGTGTTTTTTTTTTTTTTCAAGTTTTAGTTATTTATTTATACAAGCACTGGGTGCAGTCAGAAGCGCGGGAGGGTGAGAGAATTCACCAGAGCCAGAGCTGGGAGCAGAGCAGGCAGAAGGACCGAAGTACACTGCTGAGGGGAGCAGCGGGCGGCAGGAGAGGTCTGCGCGCCATGTGGGACCCTCTTCTGGTGTCTGGGGAGCAGCTGGGAATGGAACCGGCACTGCAGAAGCCGTGGGCAGCTTCGCAACCCAGCACTCAACCGCTGCGCCACCGGGGAGGCCCACGTTAGTGTTCTTTCAGAGGATGAAGTTGATAGAGAAAAATACATCCCTTTTTATTCATATCTGTTCATGTCTTTTATTAATTTATTTTGTTTCATTTAGGTAATATTGATTTGTAACACTATATATGATGTAAAGGTATAGGTTCATACATCTTTAGTTGTGCCACACATAATCTTCCATTGTAGTCCACTGGGCTCCCTCTCCCCTTTGTTAGCCTCAATTCTACAGTTCGATTTCTGGGGTTTGGTTTGATTTGGTTTTGCCTGCTCCTTTATTTTGTTTCTCTAAATTCCATATATGCATGAAATCATCCAGGAATTGTCTTTCTCCTTTCTAACTTTGCTTAGCATAATCCCCTCCAGTTCTATTCATGTTATTGCAAGGCAACATTTCATCTGTTTTTCTTAAAACTGAGTAGTATTTCGGGCCTCCCCTGGTGCCACAGGCGGTTGAGCGCTGCGCTGTGAAGCTGTCTGCACCCTCTGCAGCGCCAGTTCAAACCCGGCCGACCGGTGAGGGTCCCACATGTCGCCACAGACCTCTCTTGTCGCGCCGCTGCTCCTCTCAGCAGTGTATTTCATCAGTCTGCCTGTTCTGTTCCTTGCTCTGTCTCTGGTGAATCCTCTCACCCTCCCACACATCTGGCCTGTACCCCCAGCTCTTGTATGCATCAATCAATTAATCAATCAATCTTTAAAAAAAAAAACCCAAAAAACCCTGAGTAGTATTTCATTGTGTATGTATGCCACATTATATTTACTAGTCTCTCTATGGACATTTAGGTTTTTCTATACCTTGGTTATTTTATTTTTATTTTATTTTTTAAAAAGATTTATTTATTTATTTATTTATTTATTTATTTATTTATTTATTTATTTATTTATTTATACAAGCACTGGGTACAGTCAGAAGCGCAGGAGGGTGAGAGGATTCACCAGAGCCAGAGTGGGGAGCAGAACAGGCAGACTGACGAAATACACTGCTGAGGGGAGCAGTGGGCGCAACAGGAGAGGTCTGCGTGCCATGTGGGACCCTTGCCGGTGGCCGGGGATGGAACTGTCCCTGCAGAGGCTGCGAGCAGCTTCACAGCCCAGCACTCAACCGCTGCACCACCAGGGGAGGCCCTACCTTGGTTATTTTAAATAGTGTTTTAATGAACATAGAAATGTGTATATACCTTCATATTAGTGTTCTTGCATTCTTTGGTGTGGAATTCCTAGGTGTGAAATTGCTGGGTCATATTGCAGATATATTTTAATATTTTGAGTAATCTCTATACTGTTTTCCATAGAGGCTGGACCAGTTTACCTTCCCATCAACAGTGTAAAGGGGCTTCTCTTTTTCCATATCCTTAACAATACTTGTTATTTCTGTACTTTCGAATGTTGAACTTTTTCATGTGTGTGAGGTAGTATTTCTTTCTGGTTTTGATTTGCATTTCCCTCATAATAGTGATGATGAGTATTTTTTTCATGTACATATTTGCCATCTGTATGTCTACTTTGGTAATGTAGACATACATTATGTGCCTATTTTGTAATGTATTTTGCTCTTCTGCCTATTTTTTGATTGGGTTCTTTGCTTTCTTTTTGAATTATATGTGTTCTTTGTAGTTCTTAGATATCAGCTCCTTGTCAGATGTATAAAGTGCGAATATTTTCTCCCATATAGTAGGGTATCTTTTCGTTTGTATGGCATTCTCTTGCTAGGAAGAAACTTTTAGCTTGATGTAGTCCAATTTGTTATTTTTGTTTTTGTTTCTGTTTCCATCAGAGTTAAGTAGCCAAATGAAGCCAATGTCATGCCTGTTTTCATCTATGTATTTAATGGTTTCGTTTTGATATCTATCTCTCATTTCTATTTCTCTTATTTCCACTCTAATTTTTATTGTTTCCTTTCTTTTACTGACTCCTGCTTTTGTTTGTTATTATTTTTCTACTTCCTTAAGGTTTAAGGTATAAGGTTAGATGATTTATTCAAGATCTTTCTTGTTTCTTGATGTGGGCCTATATTGCTACATATTTCCCTCTCAGTACAGCTTTTGCTGCATCTCATACATTCAGGGTAACTCACATGTTCATTTTTTGTTTGTCTCCAGGTATTTTTAAAATTATATTGAGATTGAATGGGCTGGTGGTTGAGTAGTTAAGGTCTAGAAAAGACCTAATAATGGTGACAAATGGGTGAAAAAGGAAATTAAGGGTTGAGAAGGAGTTATACTGAGCAACACTATGGGCTTAGTAGGGCTTAAAAGTATACATTTCCAATGGAACCAATCAGCATACCATCATTTTCCTGCGGGGTTTAGCCTTAGACCCCATTTTATTAAAACAATAAAGTGGGGGGGTATTATGTGTCTTTCCCTGTCGAAGGCAATTTAGTAGGATTGGTTAGAACTCCTATATATTCAGCAGAAAAGGTACTGAATTTGGCAGACAATTTGACATTGTAATTGACTAAAGATGCATTTGGAAAACACAACTTTGGACATTTTTTATCAACTAGTAAGCCTTTCAGTGGTTGATGAATCTTTGGAAACTGCCTCATGTTTGAAGTTTGTTGGCATACTCCTTCTCTGAAGTTCATACTTAATTCCAGATTGAGAAGGGCATGGTCATGAAGTGACTGACTAAATACTACTAGTGCCTGCATATTCCTTCCTCCTGTTGCCAGCTCCCCTTTATGTGATCGCCTGGAGAAACTTTGCTCATTCTGAAGATAAAGCCATTGCTTGAAATACTTTTTTGAAAGTTCTATTTTGAAATCTTATCAAGTCATCTAGTCTCTTTGGCCTTAGTTTTTTTATCTGGAATATGAAAATAATAATTCCCACTCTGACTCCTAAAATTTGTCATAGAAATCATATGAAAATATCTTATAAAATATTAAGTACTTTGTAGATGTTAACACATCACTCCAGAAACTATACTTTTACTTTATGGCCATTATACACTCTTTAGTCAAAAATACTTTACACAAATGTCTCCAAATGACTTTTGTTCTAATCAAAATATAACTCCTATTTCAAAATATAAAGATTTGAAAAATAACTTGGAGAGTTTCATAAATGCTATGGTCCTCTATATAAAACACATTTTAAGTCCTCTAAAGATGAAACTTATTGTGTTGAAATTGCGAGGGCATTTTATGAATGGGAAATGAAATTTAATTTCTCTGTTTTTCCTCTTCTGCAGGAAGTTACCAAAGCAGTCCAACCTCTCTTACTGGGAAGAATCATAGCTTCCTATGATCCAGATAACAAGGTGGAACGCTCCATTGCTATTTACCTAGCCATAGGTTTATGCCTTCTCTTTATTGTGAGGACACTGCTTCTGCACCCAGCCATTTTTGGCCTTCACCACATTGGAATGCAGATGAGGATAGCTATGTTTAGTTTGATTTATAAAAAGGTAATACTTCCTTGTACAGTTTCCATGCTTCCTGTAGTGGCATCATGCTTTAAATGTGATTCTGGTACAAGTAAGGGATATGTGTTGAAGTCAATTCTGTATGCATATAAAATAAGTGGTGGCGATAATTAATGTTTCTAGTTTCTCTTGGTAATTTAATTCACTTTAACTAATAATTACTGAACACCTTCTATAAATTACCTGTTTTATGGATTATTTTTCACTAGTCATGTCATCATTTTTTAAAGAATCCATGGCTCCCTACTGAAATGACTCAATATTTTTATGTTCAGTAAGAAGAGTATACTATGTAATTATTAATGGTAACCCAAGCAGTAAAAGTTTCCACTGTAACTGTTCATTACATAGAGGTGACATCCACTGGGTTATTTTAGGTTAGATTTCTGTTATCCTGTGAGTGCTACAACTTCAAAATTGTGGGGACAGCATGGGCTTGGCAATCATATGAATCTTGCCTGCCTTTCTTGTGTATTGTTCAGACAGGAGCTAAAGTTGCTGAAGTATAGTTTAGATGAATCCAAGTTAAGACTTTGATATTTTAAAAATACAATTTAAGGTCATTTCAATGACGTGTTCTTTCACCAACCTGATTCCAGACCTTAGGTGACTGCTTGCAACTGCCAGGTCTTTATGGAAAGCTGTTTTAATTCAATTATTTGGCTATTGCTTTATCTCTTTTTTTCTTCCCCTAATATAACAACTATACACTTGCCTTATAAAGGGACATAGATATGAAATTCCTTCTAGCATCCCATGATGCTTCTGTAATGTAAATGCAAGGTCAATTGTGTTATAAAACCTTGATAGCTGTACTTGATTGTTCAAAAGGCTTTTATGGAGGCACAAGAAAAAAGCAGAGCCCACAATATAATCAAATCACTTCAGCTGCCATTTCAGTTCATAAGTACCAGGAAAGCAATGGTGATTGATCAACAAAATTTTATTTTGATCCAGAGATTTTACTTAAGTGAAGAATTTGTTAGGTATCATTTAGAATGTGCAATTTACTCATAATGCATATAAAAGACAGTTGAATTTAGTTTTTAAAGTATTTTTAATGTGCTTATTGGTATAACTAAAGCCTAAGTATGTGCATGACAAGCTTCTAAGTGATTTTGGTCTACTATCTTGACTCTCGTGATAGAAACTCTTATCCCTATTTTATGGATATAAGAAACTAAGGCCTAAAATACATGGTACATTATGTACAGTCTTCTCCCAAATTTCTAAAATGGGTAAATCATAATCCTTTGAGTGGAGGGTTTTTCAACTACTAGGAAAATTAAAATAAGCATGGTAAACTGTTACACAGAAAGCAAAGACATGAATGCTCTGTGGGCTACAAGAAGGAAGATTAAAAAATAGCAGGTTTATTTGTAAAGAAGTCTATATATATCATTTGGCTGAAATACAGCCATATACTGCTTTCATACCTAGTGTGTATTAATGAAGATTTAGAAGCTAGCATGGCTGTCCTTCTTTCTCAGTTTTGAGTATCTGTTCAATATTCAATATCTATTCCTACCTAGTTTGCTTTTATTGACCAATATTGGCTTCCTCCCCAAAGATGTGAAAACATCTGGACATGGCTCTGGTTTGATTCCTAAAGTGAGCCTAAAGTAAACTGGTCCCAGTTTCATTCATGTGGTTGGCAGCAGCCATTACCCTTCCTACCATATTCCAAATTTTGTAATAGAGCACTCTTTTGCTTTGTTCTAAAATCTGCAATTGTGGTACATCCACATTATATTTTAAATTGAGTTTTGTCTGTGAATTTCAAGAAGATGGAACTAACCAAACTTAAGAAAAGTTCATGCAACACTTGCTCATGCACACAGTTCCATGATAGGCCCCATGGAAAACTCAGTCCCTTGAGACTGAGTCTGTGCCTAAATCATGTGTAATCCAGCTCAAAGGATTCCCTCCCACCCTTCCATATTGCTCAAAATAGTGTTTTGGAATTCTGCCTCCTCAATAAAATCTCTTCATAACCAGATATATGACCTTTTTCTTTACCTACACTGTTATGGTTTATGACAATAAACTCATTTATCATATGTAACTAAGGTTGCTTTGTAAAGAGAATTATGTTTAAATAAACCTTAATCCCTGAAGTGTTGAATATAGTGATTTGCCTCTACTGAGTGCTGCATATTATGTGAGAGATTCAGTTGAAACAAATATTTGATGGGTACTCTCCAATCAAAGCCATCAAGATGGGCATTTCAATTCTTATTAAATTTTATAGGCAAAGTATGACTGATCTTTCATAATCATATTTATCTTCTTAATGATAAATTCTATTGTTATATATGTATTTTTCTTTGTAAATTTTAAGAATTTTGTATTGTTAATATGATCTTTCCCAAAATTATTAGTGATACAGTTATTCACAATATACTTTTATTGACTTTAATGGTACTTTTACTCAATAGAATTACTGTAGTACTACATGAAAAATTTAGGGCTAAGGTTTTTTTTTTCCCCTTTCAAATTTCACTGCCCTTTTTTCTTTTATAAAAATAATACAAAAACAAAATAAATACTGCTCACACTATGTAACTGAATATATAAGTACAATATCTTTCCCACTTTTGAGGAAAAAAATAATTATTACTCTCTTACTACTGAAAATAAAATAGCTAAAGGTATGCCAGTATCATATTTGTTGTGAAGAGAATACAGAAAGATACTAAACTGGATGAAATATAAAATAATTTTCATTACCTTTACTTAAAATGCATTTATAGTAACTTAATTCCTCAGCTGTATTATGATGTTACTTATATTTCTCTCTGTCAACACCATCTAATGTCCCCTTTTCTTTTTAGACTTTAAAGCTGTCAAGTCGTGTTCTAGATAAAATAAGTATTGGACAACTTGTTAGTCTCCTTTCCAACAACCTCAACAAATTTGATGAAGTATGTACCTATTGGCTTAATATTTTATGTATTATTGTTATAAATTGTAAAACTTCCCCCCAAAGTTTTCTGAGTCATATAGCAATTATAAGTGGTTAAATTGTATGCATCCTTAACTTCCTGTTTCTAAAAACTGACAAAGCTAAGTTGTGTAGCAGAAGACCATTCTCGGGTTTTGTGGGATAACTCAATTCAAAGGCACCTTGACTTGCTGTGTATTTAATAAGGTTTTTCAAAATTCAGTCCTTGTCAGATCTTGTTTCTCTTTAATACTTTAAATCACTTATTTACTTTGGCTGAGTATGATACTCTGAGCAGTGCCTGTTAAGTGCTGTCTTGTGTCACAGACAAAAGCAAGGTCCTTGAGGACAGATATGCTGTTCTATTTATCTTTGCATTCCTAGTACTGAACAAGGTGCTGGATCCAGAGCAGGTACTAAGTAAGTTACCATTGAATTGAGCATGCTTTATTCTGAAGATATCATCAAATGATAGAATTGTGCAGTTGAGTAGTTGAAGCTTCTGAAGTAGTTGAAGCTTCTTTTTTTCCCCATGTTCTGTGCCATCACTCTTGCTTTATAAACATAGAAGAAAGTTATTTACAACAAATTCTTTACATGATACTTAAGATGTTCAGTCTCTATTCCATTGAGTAAAAACATACTTTAAAAAGCAGTGACTTCAAATTTGTCCCCTGGGAAATCCTGGTCTGTGTGTACAGTGTTAAAGCACATTGCTGTGTGCTCCATGTAACAAACACCTAACTTTTTGCATGTTCAGAACCAGGGGATGTTTGGTTGTATAAGTTCACTGAGCTTGATTTCTTTCATCTATGCTTGTTTGTTTGGGGGTGAAGGTGGATAAAATGTATTAGTTTTCACTATGATTTTATTTTCCAGGGACTTGCATTGACTCATTTCGTGTGGATTGTTCCTTTACAAGTGACCCTTCTGATGGGGTTGCTGTGGGAGTTGTTACAGGCCTCTGCCTTCTGTGGACTTGCTTTCTTAATTGTCATTGCCCTTTTCCAGTCCGGCTTAGGGAAGATGATGATGAAGTATAGGTAACACTATTTCCATAGCTTTAAAAGGTTTTAAATTAAGTTTTCAGAAAGCCCTCTCTAACAGAGCCAGGACTACTGTACATAGTGAACTGTGATTTATTTACTGGGTGCTACTAAAAAGGAGTTATTTTAGTGGCATTAATGATTTAGTGGCATCAATGATCAAGATTTAGGTAGAATGAATGAAACATGTAAATGGGAGGGAATGCATATATTTTAGATAGAATTTATAAGCTTTTCCTACTCTGGTTCATGGATCATCATGCCAGAACTCTACTTATTTTTTTTTTATTACAAAATGAGTCAGTGATACCAACTACTGGTAGTGATAGAAGACTTCTAGTTTGTCAGCTAGGGTATGATAAAAATGCAAATTTTGAATCAGCTAGCTCTTGGCTTGAATCTCACTTTGCATACTTACTAGTTAGGTGAGTTTCTGGCTTTTTAATCTTTAAAATGGAGATCAATGCATCTTTACACTGTTAGATTAGATTAGAAATAATAAATGGAATGCATTTAGTACAGTGTCTGGCGTGTTGAAAGCACTTAGTAAATGGCAGCTGTTATTTTTGTTACCATCTATTGATAAAAGGAAATGTGACTTTTCTTAAAACCTTGAGCAATTCTTAGTGGATAATTTGACTTGTTTTCATGAAGTATTCGATTGGTTGATTGATTAATTGGTTTACAGAGATCAGAGAGCTGGGAAGATCAACGAAAGACTTGTGATCACCTCAGAAATTATTGAAAATATCCAATCTGTTAAGGCATACTGCTGGGAGGAGGCAATGGAAAAAATTATTGAAAATCTAAGACAGTAAGTCATTCTGATAATTTTTCAATATAACTAGCAAGTTAATGTTTAATATTTTAAAAATAAGTCTATCACAGTGAACTTCCAACTCATCTTTTCAGTTTCTGACAAACAATTGGTTTAAACTAAGTCAACATTCATCATGATTTGCATAAAGTCACTTTCATGGGGTGTAGTTTTATATAGTTGATCACATGTGTTGTTTTGTACTTTAAGGATATTTATACTTTATGGAATAATTGCCTGTATGTGTTTACAGCTATTTAATATGCTTATTTGATTAAAATAGTGATCATGAAACAGGAAGTTGATTGAAATCTTAAATGGAACTGCTAGATTACTAAATATATATAATGATAATACATAATTATAATATATAATTTTGAACAAAATGAGTGATTTTTCTATTACATTTTACTTAATTTATGTGTTCACAAAAAATGAAAAACTCTCTATTTGGTTAAAATGTCTGTTCCTTATTTACTTAATGCTGGATAATGTCTATAAATTGTGTTTATATAAGCTCTCCAACTTGAGAAGTTCAGTGTAAGCGAGCCACCACCTGAGATACAGTCATTCCCTGGCACTTATAACTAGTCTTGTTTTAACCTCAGACAACCTTTCTTTCATTGATTAGGAAAGACTCTCTCCAGCAAAAAAGTCAGCACAGACTGAGATAGGATCACTGAGAGAATTTTGGGCAAAATACATGGCATTTCTGTAGTCATGATACCATTTCTCTTTAGTCAAGTTCCAGGTTTTATAAAAAATGGTTTAGGATACTCAGTGAGGTTGACTATACAGTTAAGTGCAAATAATTTCGGGATGTATTGCATATGAGAGTTTCACAGGGGCAGATACCCTATAAGGAAGAGGAAAAATACTTTTTGGGTGGCATGAATATGTGTTATCAGGAATTTAGGCTGTTGATTCCAGTGGACAATGGTAACTGAGCTGCAGGTGTGTGATTGGAACAACAAAAGAAATGCTGAAATGTTAATTCCTTTGCCATGTAAATAGAAAGAGTAAAAGAGTATTTATTTTCCAAACATTAATGGTCACCTGTTTTTATTATGCCTTACAAGACAAATCCAGGAAAGGAATTATATTTTGCTTTCCAGAATATGCTTAAAGTTCTTGGGGGAATTGATTCATTGGTTGAAGTTGTTTATCCCCCATCACACTTGTCCCTTGGTCACACTTAACGCCTATAAGCATAGACATAGCAAGAGTGATGAGGTCATCAGAGAATCCAGTTTTCTCAGGCTTTATGGTAACTCCTGGTCAGGTTATTCTTGGTGCTCACTTATCTTGACTTTGGGTTTTTAACCCTCTTCCTCAGAAGATTAAATCTATCCATCCTAGTCTGTATTTCTTTTTGACCAATTCTAATAGTCAATGTGGTTGTAACTTGTATAATCCAGTTCCTTAATGTGGCATGAAATTGTTACCTGAAAATGTTGGACAGTACTGATGTAAATATGGGAAAGTAAGAATTGCTTCTACCCAAGAGAGCAAATATAATGTTCTGGAAAAATTGGCAGGATGTACTTCAAAGAGGTGATTGCCTCAGCCTGGGCCACTGTTGAATTGGGCAAAAGGATTTGCAAGCTCCCTGAAAAAAATCTATTCTTTTATTGCTCCTTGGTAATAAAGTCATTTTCAATTTTTTTTATGAGAAACTCATAAAATATTTTTATGACTCATAAAGTGTTAGTGATTTTATTATGCGGAGCATAGATTCCTGGGTGACTTATAAATGTTCATTAATCCATTTTTCTTGTAGTCCTACTTCTTCCCCTGCTGTCAGCTGTTTCTTATTCATTTCAACAACAATTTGGACAAATTTGTTCACATTTTTATGAAGTGTTTTCTAAATATCAACCTAGAAAATATTCTTTTTTTTTTTCTTTTGAAGAATGAGGGACACACATTGTGTCATGCCCTCTGCTGTGCTAACAACTCCACAAGGAGATGCTATTTTGCTTTCCTTCTATAGGCTCAAAGGAAAGACAACTTGCTTGAGATAGTATAGCTATCACTGGCAGAGCTAGGGATTAAACCCCAGTGAGATTCTAAAACCATAATCGGTCTTCAGTGACAAAAAATTGAAAAAGATAAGGCTTGACTTCATTAGACTGTGAATCACAATCTAGGTAGGGCACATTGAGCTCCATTTTCCTCATCACTGTACTCAGGATTACATTTTTTCCCCCAGATTTTAAAGAGTTACTCAGGATTCTGCCACTTGAGAATAAGAAGTGTTTTTTGTTTTTTGTTTTTTTTTTCTGAATTATAAAAGTATGTGGAACTAGAGTCCAAAGGCTAGGCATGGCTATTGCTTCTCCCTTTGGATCCCTCCACCTGTCTGGATCACTGCTGTGCTTTCCCTTACAGTGGCTGAATGAGGAGGATCACAGGGATCCCACTTTTTATGGTCCTGTTTTAGAAGGACAGAGGTTGAAGGCAGCGTTGTGCACTGTTCTCACCAATCTCTGTACTCCTTGTTTTCTGACTGTTGGAGCATTTAAAACTATTATCAATGTATCCAAAAAAAAAAAAAAAAAAAGCACATTTGCAGCTCAGTCTAGAAGATCAAAAATGTAATATATTTGGATTACAAATAACTCTAGTAAAATGAGAGAGGCAGACTTGAGAGGATGCAGTATCTACTCTCCTCTAATTTTTTGGAAACTACTTGCAGCAGAATCACTTAGGTTCTTTTAAAAACCCATATTCTGGAATACTATTGCAGATTTATTCAGTAAATATTTTTGAGAGGTGAGTCTGAGGCTCTGTATTTTAACAAGTCTCTCATGAGATTTTAACTCATGCTAAGGTTTGAGAAATTTGTGGCTTATGTTATTTTTAATTTTCTCCAAAGACAAGCTAGAATTTCTAAAGCATTAAGAATCTATTAGGTGACAATCAAATTGTTCTTTTCCTTTAACATTGTCTTCATTTCCATATTTAATTGATTAAATTATCAACCCACCACAAAAAAAGACCAAATCCTCATTTTAATGCAATAAAATTAATGATAATTTTAGTAATTAAATAATAAAATTAACAATAATTTACTTTAATAATAAAGAAATATATTAAAAAAGTAGTAATAATAATTGAGATTATTAATTTTAAAATATTTATAGGTATTATATGCAAGTCACTGGTTCATTTATTGTTTTTGCCTGTTAGACAAGATGACTCAGGAAAAGAGTTAAATAACTTTCTGGAGGTCACGCAAATCATACAGGGTTGTGAAAAGGATCAGAAAACAGAGAAAAAGACTCAAGAGCCCACCTTCAGACTTTATATTTTATAATGTCTAATATCTGAAAAGTAAATAAGCACCCTGAATCTTATTTATTTTTTTATAGAACAGAATTGAAACTGACCCGGAAGGCAGCCTGTGTGAGATACTTCAATAGCTCAGCTTTCTTCTTCTCAGGGTTCTTTGTGGTGTTTTTATCTGTGCTCCCCTATGCACTGCTCAAAGGAATCGTCCTTCGAAAAATATTCACAACCATCTCATTCTGCATTGTTCTGCGCATGGCAGTCACTCGGCAGTTCCCTGGGGCCGTGCAGTCATGGTATGACTCTATTGGAGCCATAAATAAAATACAGGTAATGTGCCATGACTGAACAGTTATATTATGGTTCTAGAACATTCTAGAACCTTTCTGGAAGGCTGACTCTGTAGAAATGAATTCCTGGTTTTGGGCCTGTTTATTGTATAGGATTTCTGCTCTTGATGTCTATATGTGATCTAGTGAGTCCATGTAATGAAGGCCTAGTGAAATGAAGTGAGATTCTCCTAAGACAGAGAAATTGAAGAAAATATTATCTCTGCATTCTGGAGAATTTTATTCAAATAATAAATCCATAAATAAGTTTTATGAACTTGACTGTGCAAAAAGATGGAGACAGTCACCATGAAGCTAACACTAGGCATGTTCACCACAAACTTTTACAAACATTTCCCTATTCAGTATGATGGATGAGAATGGCATTTTATGCCACATTAGTTACTTTAAAATTCCAGCAAGGCTGTAACTAGTAGCTTTGAAGATAAGTTTTGAAATCCTCTGATGATGAGTTTCAATTTATACAAAGCTAATCGAATCATCACCATGAATCTGTGTGTGGTTATGATTATGATTTTTATAATTTATATGCAGATCAGAATGGTTTGTTAGATATATTTTGACATTCATGTAAATATGAAATCCAGAAAATAAATGACAATGACGTAAATGAAAACTGAAGGTAAAGCCACTTTTCAGTGGTTCTGCCAGTTTTTAATTAAACCAGTTTTCAGACAGTGGCACATAGATCTGATTTTGGCCCCAGACCTATTTTTTTTACTTCTACATTTGAAAAAAAAAATCAATTAGTTTCCTCTGATTAATATTGGGAAATGTGACGAAAGAAATCATGGCTTCAGCCTCTTTTGAAAAATTGAATAGAGAACTGAGTACTCTCTCACAATCAGTGGCAGCTCCCCCAATCAGAGATACTTTATCACAATCTCTACTCAGCCATCTTCCTTAATCACAGCACCTTGAAAAGACTATGCAACTTTGAGATCTGTGATTTAGACAAGTTGGCGAATGTAGCTCAGAATCATGGCAATCCTTGGAGTTATTTTGTTTCTTCTGTTAACCCATCAGGGTTAACAGTGTGTTTGATGGGGGCCAGGGGGAATTGTTGAGGGGAAGAGACTTGAACAGAGCCATAGAGTCACTGAACAGGAACATAACTGGAGAACAGATATTCAAAACAAAACTGGGAGAGAAAGAAGCCAATGGGGAAATTTTAGTAAAAGAGAAGAGAGAAAAGCAAAGAAGCACTAGATAAAGCTTGGCAAGCAGCAGTCTTTTTTTACTACCTTCTACAGGGAAGACCTCAGGATGCATGGACTTAATTCTTCCTTGTGTTCCAACCTTCCTCAGGAAAGTATGCCCTTCTTTTTAGAATTAAGGGTTCTTGCTTAAAATCACTTGTATCAGATCATTATACCATTACTGAACCCAGAGAAGTGATGTTTATGATGCCCCTAATTAGGAGGTGCTGTAAAGATGAACACATTAGTTCTCTCTCTGTCCTAATGATGAATTGAAGCACATGGGTGGGTAATTCAGAGTTACCTCATAAATTCATCACTAAGATTAAGATATGTAACAGTACAAAGAAGACTCAATGGTATGTCAAAATCTACTGTATAAAAACAGTTTTATATTTGAAATGATGAAATCTAATACTTGGCAATTTTTAGAACTTTAGAACACTTATAAACTTATTTTATTAAGACATCATTTCTAATGTAATTCATAAAATCCAAATATGAGATGCAGCACTATTAGAGAGTAATATAGTTGTTATGATACACTAATCTGGTTCTATGATGCATGTTTGCTCTCTTTTGAAACAGGATTTCTTACAGAAACAAGAATATAAGACATTAGAATACAATTTAACAACCACAGAAGTCATGATGGAGAATGCAACAGCTTACTGGGAGGAGGTCAGAATTTTTTTTTAATTGTTTTCACTAAATACTTAAGCAGTTTCTTCTTGGTGAATCTAGTTTTCATCTCAGTGGACAACAAAGTTAGTGTGATGATAGTTTGTGAGAACTATTTTATAGATTAAGAAGTAGAGGCCCAGGAATATTACAGTATAAAAATCTCTTCAGCATTTTCCATCAGAACTTGTTTCACAGGACCGTTTAGGAAATAATACAAATCTCATCAGTTTTGGAGTCAAACAGAGCAGGATTTGCATCCTGACTCTGCCATTTGTGTAATCTAGTCCAAGTTACTTTGTGGAGCTATTTGTTCTCCGTCTGCAAAGTGGGAATATTAATATTTACTTAGTAAATGTGTTCTGAAGATTGACTGAGATAACTTATGTAATGTGTTCAGCAGAGTGATTATGTTTATAATCACTCCTCAGTAGATGCTAACTTCTCTACTCCAAGGTGCATTCCATAGACCGTTCAATATAAAGGTGTATGAGAGATAGACCAATGTATATTTACTTATTTTCACTCATGGTTATAAATTCTCTCCTATTTTTCATAGCCAGAACAAAACATTATCACAAAATATTATGATTTTTGGCATATGTGAGTATTGAGAACTCTTGATGGTTTTATTACTGTACACTTGTTGAGTTCTTCTTTATCATTTATCTGCTGAGTAAAGATAGGTATTGTGAAATAAATGTCCTATTTCTACATATTTCACAATATCATAAATTGATTTTATTTATATAAGTAACTCATCCAGCAGAGTTTCACTTCAGTTATTAAGTTACAGGTAAGGGAATAATTCTTTATCTGTCTCACAAAATTGTTTTTGGAAACTTGTGTGTGTAATGTTACATTTTTGCTTTGGGAATTGCAAATTCCCTACTAGATATGAAGGGAAAATGAAAAATTTGACATTTCCACACAATTTTTTTCCCTTCTTTGGTGGAAAATTACTTTACTGTCCCTCCATCTCATAAAATAACCCTGAGTATGTGCCAGGCACTAAAATAAGCACTTCATACATTTTGTCTTATATAAATAGCATTCCTGTTATCCTAAGTAATATGAATATTTCCATTTTACTGATAAAGAAATGAAAACTTAGAAAGGTTAAGAGGCCTTTAAAAACTTTTTATTTTTATTTCAGTTCATTTATGTTTAAATTAAGTACTTTTTTTTTTCTTACATTTGGGGGCAGTATATGATTTCTCCCCTCAGGTAGAACTATGGTAGTCACCATAGTTCTCCCACTGCCACACCTGTGGACCATCACTGTGGTCCCTGGTGCTCTTCCATCTCCCTCCTTCTGTCCCCTCACGTTTAAAAGAAAAAATATAGAAAAGTTAAGGTATCTACTTAGCTCACATAACTGACAAAGGCCAGCAGAGTTGGATTTTGAACCCAAATATCACAGTCTGCAACCCTTTTTGCTAGATTGTTGCCTCCCACCTGGCTGTGTCCTCATCTAGTCTTTGACTCTCACGTATTAAACTCAGAACTCATTAATGGTATTTTCTCAGGACAGTGGCCCTTGTTGTTGTGCCGTCTTCCATCATGTCTGAGCCTTCAGTGTTCACATGAACAAACATCCCATACTGTCCATAACAGTTATATTTTATAGTGATTTCTTTAGAAGCTTTCTCTTTTAGTCATATCCTAAGCATTGTGAGCAGCTAGACTTAATCCACTTTAGAAATGTCATGCTCTGAAATCTTTCTTGACTTAGAATTTCCTAGCCCTTCAGCTCTCTCAGTCTCTTAATTCCACCCTTACTGCCTTTCAATTTCATCAAGATTTCTGGTATACTCAACTTTCAGTTTGGGATCCCTCCTAGTGTGTAACCTCCTAGTGTGTAACCTCTGCTTTTTCCAAGACCATTCATTTTTGTCTTCTCCCAGAAGCACTCTCAACTGAATTACTGAATGCTTTGCTGTAAAACTTTCAAAATTTATTAGCTTTGATGAAGGTGGTTCTATCTGGGAATATCATGTATTTTTGTCAATAGTAAATTTTATGCAGTTACATTTTTAACAACTGGGTCTATAAATCTTCTTGGGAAATCCTTTCATTTATCTTGAGTGAATTTCCTTTACCATTTCCCAAAGCCATTCCAGATTTGTAACCACTTTTCTGAAGTCCCCAACCTCCCTGCCCTCTACCTCATCTCCTCCCCAGACCCCAGGCTGATGGCATTACCTTTTACAGTAGAAGCCATCATTCTGAAGGGATGCTTCCAACTTCTCTCTCTGCCCTTGGAATTATCATTTCATTCTTTCTTCTTTTCTAAGAGAAAAAAGAATGTTTCTTCCTGGCTTTTACTGAACTATTAGTGTCTAGCTTCATCTTCTCAAAACGGGCCCAGCAATTATTCTCTCTTGGGAAAATTCAACAACTCATTTCAACTAATTCCTTCTCACATTTAAATATTTTCAAGTTAAAAAAACTTTCTTGACTTTTGCACACCTACCCTTCTCCTCCGATCATCACTCTCCTTCCCGTTGCTGTCAAATCTATTCTTGCTTCCTTATCTTTATGAAATTCTCCCCCACTAAACTCTGGATTCTGCCTTCACCAATCTATTAAAATTCTTGTCTTCTTAATTTTATCACTTAACTTAGGTTTAGTGAACCACTCTTTATAATTATTTTATCCTCAGACAGTGGCTTCCCAACCTACCCTGCCTGCCATGAGGGGCTACCCAGTCCCTACTTAAGGTTTCCTTCTGGCATTTGATGCTTTCTCTGGATTACCACACTCAGGCTCAATGATGTCAGTGTGCCAGTGACCCTCAAATACAAATCTCTGGCTCCAGTTTCTTTCCTGAACTTAATACATATATTTTCAAATTCCTGTATGATCCTCAAGCATTTCACAGTCATCACTCCCAAAGTTTTATAAATCCACTCCTTCCAGTGTGTCTCCACCTTCTTGGATGACATCACCATCCACCCAGTTATTCAAAAGGCAAGTGCCTGATGAGTTATAAATGACTCCTCCCTCACTCCAAACCTGTGAGTAGGTAATATTTCTATTTATGTATTAGGAAGCTGAGACTTAGAGAGTTCAAGTAACTAGGACAAGGTTATATAACTAGTTATGGTAGAGCTAAAAGATCAGTCTAGGTTTCCCTAACTCCAGAGCTCTTTTCTACTCACAGTATTACTTCATTTAAAAAGACATGAATAGTTACTATTTCACTGTATACAAAATATTTTCCTATCCATTACCTCATTTCATACCCTAAAAAACTTTGAAGACTGAAGCTTGGAATGTTACAATGATTTGTCAACTATTATCCAGCTAGTTGAAAAGATGAGACAAAGGCTGGGTATTATAACCATTGCATTCACAACTACAGGGAAGTCATATCCATGGAGATTGTTTAGCGTTACTCAGGAGCAAATAAGTAAAAATAAGATTCCATTTCGTCTTATGAAACTACAAGAAACAAAACAAAATAAATCCCAAACCAACAAGCAACAGTGTTACTGAGAGGGTTCATGAGAACTAGTACTCTCTTTTATTTTTTTAAAGATTTATTTATTTATTTATACAAGCACTGGATACAGTCAGAAGCGCAGGAGGGTGAGAGAATTCACCAGAGCCAGAGCAGGGAACAGAACAGGCAGACTGATGAAATACACTGCTGAGGCGAGCAGTGGGCGTGGCGGGAGAGGTCTGCTGCACCATGTGGGACCCTGGCCAGTGGCTGGGGATCGAACTGGTGCTGCAGAGGCTGTGGGCAGCTTCGCAGCCCAGCACTCAACCGCTGTGCCACTGGGGGAGGGGAGGCCCGAGAACTGGTACTCTTATACATAGATGGAAGAAAAATAATTGGAACCACTTTTTAAAAAGCTTAGACTTTTATGTACATTTTTCTCTGAAACTTCTACTGTGGAAATTGATGCTAAAAAAAATGCTTCATTTTTTTCATGGAAAAGAAAAAGTGTTAAACAGCAGGCAAATTCTCAGGCAGATGTACTTTAGGAACATGTACATTTGGATGTTGATGATGTGAGATTAGATTTCCTTCAAACTGTGGTAACTTCCTCCTGATCGATGTTCGTAGTTTACTTGGTTTGAAAAATGCTACCTTCCCAGCTGCCTGTGATGCAAAGAGAAGTAGGAAATTCTCAAAGGGGAATTTTATCTGCTCAGCTACTCTCATATAAGTGGAATTCAGTGAAATCACCACATCATCTCATCACACTTATATAATAATAATGACGAAAGAATTGTCTCAGGTTGCCTAAAGGAAGGTACTATCATCACGATAAATTATACATCAAATTTGGGGTGTCTTTCATCTCTGGCCTACTGGTTATGTGACTTTGGCCACTTTGTTTCTCTGAGTCACAGTCTACAGCTTTGAAAGAAGAGGATGACAAAAGCTACCTCAACTATGGGTGCTTTGGTGGTGGAAAAGCACCCGTGAGGGGAGAAATCCTATACTGTCAAAATATTAACAAGGATATAAAACAATGGTACTTCATTAAATTAAAAAAATAAAACCTACCTTTTATTTTGCTAGGGATTCAATAATAATATTTGCTTACTCAGTTTACAGAAGGTACATAGATAATCAATCTTTAATTTTATTAAATGGTATCATTTTCAAATGGTTTTGTCATGTGCTGTAGAAATTATGTGCTGTATAATTATGTGTTATGAAATATGCATCATGTGTCTTTCAAACTAATCATCCATAAAACAAATAGCTATTGAAAATATCTGAAAAACTATGTTTTTATTTTCTGTTTTTTTCTTAAAGGGATTTGGAGGATTATTTGAGAAAGTAAAACAAAGTAGTAACAATAGAAACGTTTCCAATGGTGATAACAGCCTCATCTTCAGTAACATCTCACTTCTTGGCACTCCTGTCCTGAAAGGTATCAATTTCAAGATAGAGCGGGGACAGTTGTTGGCAGTTGCTGGGTCTACTGGAGCCGGCAAGGTAGTGTCTTTCTTTTTTTTCTTGTAATGTAGATTTTAATGTTGCATACATTTCTCTTTTCTTTTTCTGGTCTGAAGTAGAAGAAGCTTTTTTGGAGAATTTCTTACACTGATATTAGGAAAATGCTTGGATTTGGTCTCTTATAAATTATTCCACTGAGAGTCATATTCTCTGGACTTTATTTCTTCATATTATCTTCAGTGACTTTTCCCCCTACATCTTTATATTTTTCATAGCACTCAGTTCAGTTCTTATATATGGTGGGTATTCAGTAACTTTATTGCATAAATGAGCTATCCATTTTTATTGGTCTTTGGCACAGATATTTTTTCAGACCTGTTCTAGGAAAATCATGACTTATTTTATCTCAGTAACCACATACATAAAATAGTTATAATAATATTCCATTGGTTTGTCTATTTATGTAAAAATAGTTCCATTTTAAAAGTTCTTTGAAAACTTTAGTTTTTTTAAATTAATTTTTAATTGAGATAATATTGGGGTACCCCCATCAAGTGTTACCACCGTAGTCCACCTCCATCAAGTCACCCATATTGATACCACCATAGATCATTATGCTTCCTTCCCTCTTTTTTCTTCCCCCTCTCTCTCCCCTCCTATTCTGTCCTTCCCCTCTACTCTTTATGTTTCAGTTCTGTAATCAGCTATCAAGGGTTGTTTTTCAGCTTGTCTTTTTATCTGACTATTAATTTATTTCATATTCCACATATTAATGATACCATCTGGTATTTGTCTTCCCTTTCTGATGTATTTCACTTAGCATTATCTCTTCCAGCTCCATCCATGTTGCTGCAATGAGTTTAATTTTTTTTGATCACTGAGTAGTATTGCATTGTGTATATATACCACATCTTCTTGATCTTCTCATCTGCCTTGGGGCACTTTGGTTCTTTCCATAGTTTAGCTATAATAAATAGCACTGCAGTCAGCATAGGAGTGCAAGCTAATATGGCATTGAATTAAAACTTGTATCATTGAACAAGTTTATTGAGTAGCTACTTTGTGCCAGACCTTGAGGCTATATTATGAGTGAACAAAATCCAGCACATATCCTTACTCCCCAAGAAACTCACACTTTTTGCCTCAAGTGGGAGAGAAAAAGATTATATATGCAGTGTGTTTACATGATGGTAAATGCTATGAAGATAAAGCAGAGGAGGAAGATTGTGACTGGGATGCAATTTTAAATATGGGTGATAGGGAAAGCCTCATTGAAAAGCAACGTTTGAGCAAAACCTTGGAGAAGGATTAGAACATCTGGATGTCTGGGGACAAATTTTCTAGGAAGTATGTAGAGCAAGGCCCTGAAATAGGACTGGACTTGTGTTGTTCAAGCATCAGCAAGGAGGTCAGTAAGGTTAACACGGAGTAAGCCATGGAAGGCAGGCTGTTAGAGAAATACTTGGAGGTCAGAGCATTGCTGGGAGCCTTGTAAATGAGATCCATGGGCCTTACAGAGGGTCTTGTAAAGAGAGGACTTTTCTCTGGGGAGATAGATGCCTTTGAAGGGTTCTAAGTAGAGAAGTAACATGATATTACTTACACATTGATAGCTCTTTGAAAATAGACATAGAGAGACAAGGGTAGAAACAAGGATGAATTAGAAGACTATTGTGCTAATCCAGGTAACAGATGGTAGTGGCTTTATCTAGGTAGTTATAGAAGTTTCAGGATATGCTTCGAAGGAAAATACAATAGAACTAAATTGAACATGACCTATGAAAATAATGGGGGAATCAAGGATGAACTAGGATTTTTTGGCTAACTAGAAGCAGCAAGATACCATTTACTGAGGTTAGAGAACTAACAAGTTTTGGGGGGCTAAGTGCGGCAGAGAGTACTTGATTAAGTTTGATATGTCTATTTCATATCCAAGTAGAAATGTTAGTTGGATGTATAATTCTGATTTCAACAAATGATTTTTTTTTTTTCTTCCCTTCCCTAACCTCTGGAAGTTGAAATGCCCTTGGGTTCACATCTTGATCTCTTTTTCTTCCTATCAACACTCTCTCCTTTGGAATCTCATCTAACCCAAAGTCGTCATGATTGTTCTTTGTCCACTTAAAAATAGATTATGTTTGAGTATTTCCTAATTATTGGTTAGAGCTACACGTCACGTACGCATGCACACACACACACACATTAAATATACATGATCAGTCATGATATTGAGCTCTTATATATTTTAATTTATCTTATATTATTTATCTTAATATATCTTATCTTTTGTCTACTTGTTTTATCATGAACACATAAAGTTGAATTAAAGACTTCTGTGTATTTCTACATTCTCCCTATTATTCCTTACAGTTTCTAGATTTTTTGCTTTTTAAATTTAATGGCTAGCTATTGATAAATATACTCTTTTTAAAATGTAATGGCTAGCTATTCAGAATCTTAAAGTACCTTTCTTCATTTCGTTGGGTATCTTTAGATCTAACTTCTACCTTGTTCAATATGAAAATCACAGCCCTTTTTGTTCCTTTGTTTACATTTATTGGCTTTAAATTCCATCCAACCTTTATGAATCGTGTTGCTTTAGCTGTGTCCTTTATTTACATTACAGTTGTATTTGTTTTTAATTTGATCTGAAAATCTTTTTTTAAAGGTGAGTTTAACTTTTTTAAAATAAACTGATTTATGTATTCTATTACAAAGCATGTCCTCAAATACTTTTTAAGTTTAATGGCTAATGTATTTTGAGAATTTCCGTCTCTATTATTATTACTTTAATTGGGGTAACACTGGTTTACAACACTATATGTGGTTCAAAGGCAAAGGATCACACCTCTTCAGGTGTATGTTAACCACTTTTAGGTGTGTAGTCAGTGACTTTAAGTACATTAATATCACTTTGCAACCATTACTACCTTTAGCTGATTTTTATTTACATATTTTGTAGATATGCTTCATCTAAGTTCTATATTTATGTTTTGTTTTGTGTTTTTATTTTTTTCTAAAGTCTATTGTCTGCGTATGTACATTTATGTGTATGTGTGGATTTGTTATGATTTTGATCAAGGTTTGTATTTTTGTTTTAGTGCCTAGATTTATAAAAATATCTATGTTAAATTTATGGGCTCTAGTTCACTAATGTTAGTTCTATAAAATTGGTGTTTTTCTTTCTGTTGTTGCCTTTGCTTCTACTCAATTTTAGTAGTAGTATCATTCTTAATATTTATCTTTGTATTATTAAATATGCGTATGCTCCTATTACTTGATTTGCTACTGTTAAATGATATCCTTTGACTCCCAGCTTTTTTTGATAAGGCTATTGGCAAATTCCTCTATACGCCATTTTTTTTTTGTTTCATTTTTGTTTGTTTTTTATTTATAACCTTTGTTTTTGGTGTCAGGAAATAGGGCATGTTTAAATCCTGTTTTTCAACTTGAATTGTCACATTAGTTTTAATTTTAGTCCATGGTCATATATAGTAGCTGTTCAAGGATATTCTCACTGGTGGTTCCTAGTCATCTCTTTGATGATTTATACTAGTTTTTTAAAGAAGGGATATGGGAACAATATTACTAAACATCCTCTCTCTTTTCAACTAATCTCTCCTTTATAAAATGAAGATGATATTGATTCTACCTTGTAGGTTTATTGTGAAGATTAAATAAATGAATATGGTTAAATCATATGGAACAATACCCAGCATAGAGTGAGCCCTTGACAAATGTTATCTGCTACTAATCTTTCCCTAATCTCCTCCAAATCTATGCCAGAAATGTGAACTAGCTACTCCTTTGTGAGCCTCTATCATAGCATTTATCACATGCTATTGTAATTGTTTCTTTTCTCCCACTTTGTATCTTTGTGCACAGCCAAGAATCTAGAACAGGAAGTAGGTGCCTAATAAATTTTGATTTGAATGAGTTAATATAGACTCTTATAAAAGCAGATTAGACCCGTCTGCTTTGTATGACAATTAAATGTAAGTGCATTGTAAAAATGATTTGATCAAATGACTTAATGACAATGTTTTTTAATTTCAGACTTCACTTCTAATGATGATAATGGGAGAACTAGAGCCTTCAGAAGGTAAAATTAAGCACAGTGGAAGAATTTCATTCTGTTCACAATTTTCCTGGATTATGCCTGGTACCATTAAAGAGAACATCGTCTTTGGTGTTTCCTATGATGAGTATAGATACAGGAGTGTCATCAAAGCATGCCAACTAGAAGAGGTAAGAAATTATGTTAAAAATTTCTAGTTATGCATATGGAATTTTCAAACTATTTAGCTCCTTGTTCAATCAGTTGAGTACATTAATACATTAATCAAGTATCCCTTGACCTCACAAGTATAGACACAAGTATCCCTTGACCTTTATTATCTTTATTATCTTTAAGAAGCTTGCAAAAACATAAAGGAGGTAATTTTTTTTAATGATGGACTGTTTTGGTTACAATGAAATATGAAGTGTTGAGTTTTTTTTCACCCATTAGTGAGGTAAATGTCCTCAGTGGACATTAATATAGCTTGCATTTTTTGAAAAAAAGGTACTTCAAAATTAGAAGAGTATTTTAGTAATTCTGATAACACCATAGCCTAATGGAACAAGCACTGACCTTCCCGTGGAGAACCACAGTTAAAATTGTGATTCTTTCTTTTCCTTTGGCCCTGAAAATACAACCATATTCCCTCTAGTGCTGGTTATTCTCTGAAACAGGGGCAAAATGAAGATGATGCTACTGACCCATTTTATAATATTGGGAAGAGCTAATTATCTGGATTGTTGAGGAAATTAAATGAGATAAATATAAGGTTCCTAAAGTAACATCTAGTGCCATTAACCGTTCAGGAAATATTAGCTTGTTTCTACTCTCCTTGCTGCTAGAGAGAAAGATGTAGATAAACACATGTATGAGTCACTTCTTGTTACTGACTGTTGTTCTGAAATTGAGAAGAATCATGATAACTGTGAAGTCATGTATATGAATTTTGGTGTTGACAAAGTAGTGATAAGAGAAAATTATAAAAGTGTTCATTTATAAATATGATAGTTGATTTTTGTGGCCCAGTCTATAAAAGTTGGGGTTTTCTATGGAAGAAAACAGATGGCATAAGATCCTGAATGTTTGAAGTATAGGCAAATGTGTTCCATATTCCAGAAATGGCAGTGGAGTTGGAAAGTGATTGCAGTTTCTATGTCCATTTCAGACCCCATCTACAACATTATATATGTCCTTACCTTATGCTAGATACTGTTTACTCTGGTGGGAGCAGGGTGGGTACAAAGAGAAACACTTTATTATCTTTCTCTCTAGGAACTTACAGTTTTGGTGACATATATATAAAGAGAACTTTTCAATACACTATAGCAAATGTTGAGGTAGAGATACTCTTAGGGCACTATGGAAGAAGGCTGGTTGAGGGCTCTTAGCCTGTTTGTACAGTTCAGGAAAGGCTTTCTCTAATAGTGAACACCCAGGAAAATGAATAAAAATGGAAGCAGGTATTCAGGACAGAGGAAACTGTGTGATCAGAAACACAGGTCAGTAAACCACTTAGTTTGTCCCAGCAACAGTCTTTCTAGAAGTAGAATGTTACTAAGGGATAGTGAGTGGAGAGGAATGGAATTTGAGAGCCATGTCATGCATGCCCTCCTTGGGAATTTGATCCTGGACAGCTTTAGTCAGGTGACTGATGTAATCAGCCTTGTATTTTAGATATATCTCTTTGGTTGTGATAAGAGGAACAGAAACAAGATGGATGTTATAAAAGACTTCACAGGATAGCAGAAAGAACATAGCTGGCTTCCTAAGAAAGTTACTTAGCCTTCATCTATACTGAGTTTTATTCTCTGCAATATGGGGATGATATTATCTATTTTGCAAAACTCTGTGGATTCTTCTGGCATGTAGAAAGTATTTAATAATAAAGCAGTTGTTGTTAGTACTATTTGCCATTTGTAGGAAGGAGATGAACAGGAAACTATTTCAGTAATCCAAATAATGTTCATGATGGGCAAGAAGAGACAAATGTTAAGGAGAGGAATAGTGAAAAGATAAGAAATGTCATAGTTATATATTATTTGTATCAGTAGGAAAAAGCATCAGAGAAAGTGGTCCTTTATCTAAGAGTGATTTTTTTTTTCCTCAAGAGATAAGAAGAGAGAAATTGGTTTAGCACTGAGGGTTCCCTGCACAACAGGAATTGGGAAGGTGGGGCAGGAAGAACTGCTAGGAGTTTAGGAAGGACATGGGGTGATTACTTGGAAGTGAGACATCTGGTCAAAGCAGAGAGATCGCAGGTCTTGTTAACAAATTGTTAATAGTGTTGACCTCCATTATTTTATGTTTTTAACTATGCACTTCACTCTTCCTCTTTGCCTTAAAATATTGTATAAAACACTTAGGTTTTCATTTATACCCCTGAATCCCTACTCCTTTCTGTCCTGCTGACTTTTCAACTGTTAGTTAGGCCTTCCCAGTCATCTAATGAGAAGCAGAAATACCCAAAATCTCCTTAATTCTTTGTACTTTAAACTGGCAAATATAGAGAATACAATGAGTACATTTGTATTTGCTGTTGTCTTTGCTGAATGTTTCTTGTTGTTATCTCTCCAACTACATAGCAAATTCCTTGAGAACAGTGATTCTAAAAAAAATTATTATTTTATACTCCACCTAGCACGATAGGCAGAAAGGTAAATTCTTATTGGATGACTATTTCAGAAATATTTTGATGTATGCATGTCAGTTTTAAGAATTTTGCTTAGAAAATATTCTGTGAACCTTGCAGTCTCAGAAATTAAGGAGACAATTACGGAGCAGTACTTATTGCTGGGAAAGAGAAAAATAATTATAAATGCTAAGCTCTCTTGGCAGTCAAAATAAAGTCTTCCCTGTTTTTAGTGATTTCCGAGTTTTTAGTTTTGTATTGTTATTATTGTTGTTAAACAAGTACTCTCACCTTTGAAAAAATGTTAGTGAGAACTTTCCAAAATAAAACTTTTTTTTGGCTAAGTATGGAAGAGTTTTAAGTATTGGAACATGAAATACCTGTAGAATCCTTGATGGTTAAGCAGCTGGTGCCAGCAAAGGATTCCCTCAATATATTCTCTATCTGCCCCTATCAGCAAATACAAACATTCATGATTCAGTATGATTTCATTTTGACTGCCAAAGTTTATCTGTTTCTTAATAAGCTACATCTAGACGTAGAAATGGAGATGAGAACAGAATATTTTCTCCCTCATTTTTGTGTTTTTGTTCCGCTCTAATATCTACAAAGCACTTGTGTATGTAATGATGCTTGGTGGCATAGGAGTGGGCAGGCAGGTGTAAATCTGCTTGGATAGGAAAAAAACACGTGTAACATATTTCACATAGTTTTCTGATTTCAGATTGTTGCTGAAAACTGTTCACTCAGTGAGATAGCTTCAAGACTTTATCATAGGAAGGGCATGGGCACAGTTCTGTGCTGATAGAATCACTTGTCACTTGTAAACACAAGTGAACAAGTTGTGCTCAAATTTTTTATCTTTAGACTTCCTCTTTTAGGAGCATTTCCACATGCTGCATTTTGTAGCCTACTTTGAATCTAAATTATAGTAGAATGGATTCCTAGTTGAATGGATATATTTTTAAAAAATACCATGTTGTATTCATGTGCCCATTAACTTCCCTTCCCATTTTTCTCTTTGCATGTACCCAGACTTCCCTTAGGAGTCTCCTATATATTTGCAACTTTTTAAACCAGCCCTGAAGTCTTTATTAGTTTAAAAAGAGGAACCTGTATATTTGATCCTTATTAATTTAGTTATCTTTTAAGAGGATTATAATTATATTTTGTTATTGAAATAATGACAAGACTTCACTATCTCTTGTCTTTTTTATTTCCAGAGCACCTCTTCTCTTGCACTTCACCCCTGCTTTATCCTACCATATAGCCCCAGAACTAATAGCAAGAGAATCTTAAGGAGTCCAGTGTGTGGGTAACAAGTTACTGGCTGTCTTCATTTAGTGACTCACTCTATTATAAAAGTAACTGGGTTTGGAGAAGTAATTGACTATTATAATAGCATGTGGTGGGAGGTAGGGTAAGGAGTGTAAGAAGAGGTCAAGGATAAGTAATTGGTTTCCACAAAGTTGTTGTGATCCTTTTGTAACCGCAAAATGGTCTTCATTAAGTATTTGTCATGACAGCCACTGCATATGCTTTGTAATAAAAATATTTACTGTGTAAGTTGAAGAAGGTAAAATCTGTGTTTTCTGTTCCACCACTGCTTGGGAGTTTTCATACATAAATGACTAAAAGAAAAAAAAAATTGGGAGGGAAGTTGGCAAGATGTTACTAAAAGCAAAAAAAAAAAAAAAAAGAAAAATTGGGGAGGGAAATTGGCAAGGAGTATGAAAAAATTGGGAGGGAAGTAAGCAAAGAAGTGAGTTAACAACTGCTCTGGAAAATAAATTCCAACGTGCAGATGCCACATGACTAATTAAATTTGAATTTGACCTCTGGATCGCCAGATCTGGCCCAAACTAATCAGCATTGAACAGAGGCTTAACCTTTGAATGGTCAGTCTGCTATTATAGGAGAAGTCAGGAATGTTCAGTTAGGTGATCTGTAAATAATACAGTGCCATAGAAATTAATATTTGTATTCAGTAATAGCCAAGACATAATGGGCATCTAAAACAGGTATTTGAAACACATTGAACTATGTCCCCTACTCCAGGATGAACCATACTGAGTTACTGTACCTTGAACCACCTATTATTTTCTACTGATAGGTAATTAAATTGGAAAACACTGCCATTTATTTACTGTAATGTGAAGCAATTTATTTTATAAAGCTATTAAACTAAAACCAAACAGATATGCTATAACATTTCCTGAACTGAACTATTATTTCACTTCACTTAAGCCCTAGAACTTAAAAATAAATACTAGCACCATATTTTGAGAGACCACAGTCGGCACTGCTGTGCTAATAAGTACTTTGTAAACATCGGTTGAGTGAATTCTTACTCTCTAGTTACCTCTTGACAAATTTTCAGTCCAAATCAATGTGCTGAATTCTAGAAACTTGAAGTAGCTTATAAGAATTAAGATTAAAATTCTGTAACTAGTTATTGACTTAATAAATGAGAGTTCTTCTATCTCTAAAACCAAAATAGCCCTAAGATTGTTCCGTTCAGTAAGAATTGGGAAGATCTACAGTAGTATAAAATTTAAT